CCCGGGAAACGCCGCCCGGCCCTCAGGTTCCGGCCCCGGCGCGGACGGGCGGCCGCCGAGCCCGGCCCCGCGGCCGAGGCCGACGGCTTGCGCAGACGCCAGGCCGCCCCGGGCCAGGGTTTGGCGGGCCGCCAGCAGGAGGGCGCCCGCTCTTCGCGGGAGGCCGGGCTCCCGCGGGGTCGGCCCTGCGGATTCGTCCCGGCGGGCGCGGAGACCATGGCCGGGGAGCGCGCGGAGGGGCCGCGGCAGCTCCAGGTAGGCCGGCGGGAGCCCTCGCCTTGCGGCCCCCGAGGACGAGGCTGTCGCGCTGCGCCCCGCCGTGTGGGCTGCTGCTCGGCAAGGCTCCTGCGGCCCGGCGGATGGAGGCGCGCTGGTGGCTCTCGGAGCCCTTGGCCCCGCGGGCCTCCTCTCCGCACGTCCTCGGGGGTCACCGGGGCCGCCCTGGTCGGGTCCGAGCCCGCTCCGCCCTGCTGCGGCGCCAGCGACGCGGACCGGTAGCCGCGCGCGCTCGCGCTTTCTCCTGCGGGGCTGCGGGCGGCTCCGGCGCGGGACCTCCCGCGGGTCACGGCCCTCGCACGGCTCCGGCGGCCGGCGCAATGCCTGCGTGCGGAGCCCAGGCTTTACGGTGTAGGAGGGGGGCGGCGGCAAGCTGCGCTGCCTTGCGCTCGTTCTCCGCCGTGCGGAGGGCCAAGGCGCAGGAGGGGCGGCCGTGCTTTGTGCTTACAGGTAGCTGGGGAGGGCCGCTCCAGCAGAGCGGCTGCACCGGCCTCGCTCGCTCGCCCGGCCCGGCCCGGCCCGGCCCGGGATTCGCGCCGGCCTCGGCCGCGTGGGCGGCGAAGAGCCGCTGCGGCGCGCGGGCCGCTATTTCGGGCCGCGGGAGCCCCGCCCCGGCGGGAGGGCGGGGCGACTCGCCCGCTGATTGACAGCCGCCCCCCGTCTTTGTTCCTCGGGCGGGCAGACAGCGCCCTTGACGCGGAAGCCAATCAGGGCCCAGATCTAGCCAGAAGGACGTTGATGGACATCAAAATCAGCCATCGGAAGGCTCCGATCCCAGAGACTGGCACTGTTCCCCACCAATAGCATTTGGGAATCTGGCAAGGGTCCAATCGTGGCTAGAGCAGGGCGGAGCTGCACGTTCTTGTTGTCGTCCTCAGAAGAGTCGGTCGCTTCGCTCGCCAGGAAGAAAGGACCGGCGGGCAGCGGAGGCTCGATTAGTCGGCTGTATCGTCCCGATTAATCGGGACCATGTCGAGGCGGGCGGGACCCCGGCGGGCCGCTTGGAAGAGACGGGCCGAGGCGGCGGCGGCGCCGCATTCGAGTTCGCTGCGGAGACTGCGCCGTTTGACGGGGCAAAACCCCTGAAGGAACCCCGCGGCGGATCGGGAGCAGGAAGCGGATCCCGGGCGGGTCAGTAACGGTGCGGCCTGGGCTGGGCGACAGTGGGACTGCGCTTCCCGGCATGCTGTGCGGCGGGGTCGCCCTGCCAGGGCCTCCCTGCGGCGCGCGGCATCCTGGGAAGGGCAGTCGTCCGCGGCGGCCGCCTCCCCGCGGTTCGCCCCGCCCCGCCCCGCCCCGCCCCGCCCCGCCCCGCCGGCTCCCGGGCGCGAGGGAGGCCCGCCCCGTGCCTGGGGCGTCTCTAGCCCGGGCGGGCGGCCGGCCGTCGCCGCGCGTGGGGCTGCTCGGAGGGCTGCCGCCCGTTCCCGGTTCCCGCGAGCGCCCCTGCCGGGGCCGGCCGGCTGGCTCCCCGGGCGCAGGTGTGCGGCGGCCGGGCACCGGGCGCTCCCGCCGGCCCGGGGCTTCTCCAGGTGAAGGCAGCCTGTCCGCCGCGGGCTGCGGGCCCTGGCGCGGCGCTGGCCGCCACTCGGGCGGCGCTCGAGGGTTGTGCGGCCGCGGCCCCCGGAGGACACCCGGCCTCGTCAGTGACCCCCTCCGGCCAGGGCTGCCGACGGCTGTCAGGCGCCGGCGACCGGGAGCAGGGCGCCCCTGCGCCCTTGCTTCCTGCTGCTGGAGTTCCCGGGGCGGCCAGTTAGCCACCCTGGGAGCAACAACGGGGCCAGTTTGCCCGGGGCGGATCAAGCCCAGCTTGCTTTACGTTACAGGCGCTGGCAAAGAGCGGCAACCCTGCAGCACCTCCTAGCCCCCTTTTCTCGGTGATTTTATTTTCGATTTATATCCTGCCTGTTTCCTACAAAGGGCTCAAGGCAGCTTACATCCTCCTCCATCTTCTCCCCACAACAACAACCCTGTGAGGCAGGTTGGGCTGAGAGCCTGTGCCTGGCCCAAAGTCACCCAGCTGGCTCCATGGCAGAGCGGGGACTCGAACCCGGATCCTCCGAGTCCCAGTCCCGTGCTCTTCACCACTGCACCGCACTGGCTTTCCATGCAGTTCACATTCTTCAGCATGCTTGCATGGGGTTCTGCTGCAAGGAAGGGCACACGTGTGCGCAGGGAGCGAGAGACGGTGTCACCGGCTCTGTTGGCTGCAGGCTTTGAGAGAACGGTTCCTTCCCTGGGTTGTTGCTAGAAAATGTATCAGATGGACACCCCTGCAGGGTTGCTTGTCTTCCCAAGAGCTAGAAAGCGGCCTTCATACTGGCCTGCTCTGGCCAGAGTCTAGTGACCTCTCATGGAGCCTCCCAGATGGCAGCCTCCTGTTCCCAGAGGGCTCAGCATTTCTCCATCTCCCCCAGGAAGCGCGTCCTTGTGGCCGAAGCCCTGAGAACTGTTCTTGCGCCAGGGAAGGACGACAATGAAGCTCTTGGAAAACTCCAGTTTTGAAGCCATAAACTCCCAGCTGACCGTGGAGACAGGAGACGCACACATCATTGGAAGGTGAGGGCTGAGTGGGCTGCTGCACAGGGAAGCACCGCCCCCCTTGGCACACAGCCCTCGCTGCTTTCCTGCGCTCCCCGGGCCTCAGGCTGGCTCACAGCTTTTAGAGAAGCCTCTTGGGCCAAGTGGGGGGCTCGGGACAAAGCCCTCCCAGTTTTCCTTCAGCCGCTGCGCCATGCAAAACCTGCTGTTAGACGCTGGTAGAACATGGGATGACGGAGCCCATTTAGCATCGGGCAGCGGAATTTGGCTGGCGAGCCTGGATCGTAGAAACATAGAACGTTGGCGCTTGGAGGGGCCAGAGGGCCGTCAGGTCCCGCCCCCCGCATGGTGCTGGGCTCCCAGTGAAGCCATCCCAGGCTGATTTAGGCTCATCCAGTTGTGTCCTCCATTCTTGGAGGGGGGGAAAGGTTGTAGCCCGTTAAAATTCTTTTGCCCCACATGCTGTGTTCTGTGTTTTGCCTCTCCTTGCTTTTCGTTCTTCTAATCCTTTCTTACAATAAAGAAAACAAGTGTTTTTTGCCTCTCTGAACGGACGCTTAAAAAGGTAGGTGCCCGGGGGCTTCCAACTAGTAGTGGCAGGAGCCCCCCCCCCCCCCGAAGCACTGTTGGTGGAATGCCACTGATGGCGCCGTGCCTTTTGCCATGCAGACGAGCTGACCAGCTCGGGGTGCCAGTTGGGCTGCATGTCTGGCTCGTTCGCTTGTGTTGGCCTGGACAAGTCCCCATATTTGCAGCCTTAGGATGTTGGTTCGGTGCTCAGGGTGCTTTGTTTTTTTTCATTTAGCTCAGCCCTCGAATGTCCAGAAAGAGCAGAATTTTAACAGCCCCTTGGAGAAGGCTGGCTGCACCAGTGTGCTTCAGTAGCGGTGATCGTTCGTATAGAAAGCTGGGGGTGGTTTGGCCTAATTCTTAGTCCAGTGGAAATCCCACCACTGCTCGGATGCTCTATCAGCTCTTCATTGACTTCCTTTCTAATGGCAGCAGCTGCGCTGGACTGGCTTGTTGGGTGGAGGAGCTCGTGAATCTGGTCAGCTGAGAGAAGGGGGCGCCGCTTGGGGCCCAAGACTCCCCTCGCCTGAGATGGGAACAGGCACAAGGGCTGCGATGCAGGTGGTTTCTCGGGATCTCTCCGGGACCTTTGGATGATGGAGCACTACAGCGGGCTAGTTCTGACCTCTCCTGGCAGTTGGTGCGACAGTCTCATAGTATCTCAGAAGATTAGAAATCTAATTATGGCAAAACTTTTACGGAGCATGTTATATTCCTGCAAGGTATTTCCGGTCTGAGGTGCAGAGTGTGAAAATTTCCCAAAGGCGAGGGTGCCAATTCAGAGTTTTTGCGTGCTCTCTAATAAACCCAGAGCAATGATAAGCAAAGTCCCATGGTGATTGACTCTAATGAGAAAAGGAGTCCGAGATCTGTGGGAATTGTTTAAAAAAAGGAAATTCTAAATTGCAAACAATTGCAAACAATTCCAACAAGGAAAAAAGACAAGAAGCCCGTGTTGCTTCACAGCAAGCGTAGAGATGCTCTGGAAGCAAAACGGGGAAGTGGAACGGGCACGCGGCACAGAGCGGCAGGGAGGCCAAAGCCAGGAAGGAGCTGAGGGTAGCGAGGGATGCTAAAGGCAGCAGACACGCAAGCCTTCTCCAGGGGTGTCCAAAGTAAGAGATGGAGGGCGAAAAGGGAATTCGGCTACACAGTTGGGATGGCAAAATGGTAACAGGTGGCAGCGACCTTCCTGGTGAAGGCGAAGCACAAGCTGAAGGAGCAGGAGAGCAGCTCCAGCCGGAGGGGCGCAGGGCCCGGGACTGTCCACTGGGCTGACCGAGTTCAGCTCTCCAGGGCCAGTGAACTCCGCCCTGGAGTCCTAGAGGAGCGGGCAGAAGGCCTCCAGAACCGCCGTCTTTCATCTTCGAGCAATCGCGAGGGGCAGAGGAAGTGCCCGATGACTAGAGAAGGGCTCATCTTGCCCCCATCTTCTGCGAGGAAAAGGAGAACAGTCTGGGAACTACAGGCCAGTCAGTCTGACGTCCGTCCCTGGGGAAATTATAAAGCAGTCAGTCCGCAAGCATCTTGAAAGCAATGCAGGGACTCCTAGAAGCCAGCACTGATTTCTCAAGCGCAAACCCTGCCAGACAAATCTGATTGCGTGTTTTGATTGCGTAACCTCCCTGTGGACTGCGGGAATGCCATGGGCATAGCCCCTCTTGACTTCAGCAAAGATTTTGACCAATTGCCCCATGATCTCTGGATTAGCAAACCAGCCAAAAGTGAGCTAGGTGAAACCGTGATCAGGTGGATCCACCGTTGGCTACAGAACCCGACTCAAAGAGGGTTCCTCACCGGCGCCTTCCCAGACTGGGGAGAGGGAACAGGTGGGGTGCTGCAGAATTTAGTCCTGGGCCCCGGGCTCTTCGACACTTTCATCAATGACTTGGGTGAGGAAGTGCAGCCAACGCTTATCCACTTTGCAGGTGACAGAAACCTGGGTGGGATAGCTAATACTCTGGGAGACCGAAGGACCATTTAAGGCGATCTTGATAGGTTGGAGCGCTGGACTGAATGCGACAGAATGACATTCAGCAGGGACAAATGTCAGGCTCTCCTCGGAAAGGGGATCCAAATGCACCGTTACAAGATGGGCGATACCTTGGCCTGACAGAGTTGCAAGTGAGAGAGAAGCATCTTGCAATGGGCAGAGATGACAGATCAAATGTGGGTCAGCAATGCGGTGTGGCTGCTCAAAGGGCTGATGTTACACTTCTGTTAATGCCGCCCAATACAGCAACGGGGGTGATCTGAGGACTGGAAACAAAACCCTGTGAGAAGAGATAGAAAGAACGGGGCACGTTCAGCCTTGAGAAGACTGGGGGGAGACTCGGTAGCCCTTTCCAAGTACTAGAAAGGCTGCCCCAAAGAGGAAGGTCAAGCTCTCTTCATCCTCCCAGAATGCAGGACACAGACCGATGGGTGCAAGTTCCAGGAAGTGCTCCCTGCCTGTGAGAGCAGGCCGACAATGGACCGATGGCCCGGGGAGGGGTGGGCTCTCCCCACAGGAGGCGTTCAGGACGCGACTGGACAGCCACCCGAGAGGGTTGCTTTCATTTGGAGTCCCGCAGGGGGCTGGGCCCTCCGGCCCTCCCAACTCCGCAGTTCTATGACTCTCTGATGAATATTGCAGCTGCACCCAGGCAGCGGGCGGTGGAGGAGGGTGGTCCTGGCTCTCGGGGGTCTCCGGATTCCACCCGGTGGCGGCGGCCTGCCAGTCTTCCTGCTTCTCGGGACCCCTGTGAGACCCCTGTGAGCCCCTAGTGGCCCAGGTGCTCCCCAGGCAGTTCCCCCGTGGGTCAGAGCTGCCTTTCTCCCGGCAGGATCGAGAGCTACTCCTGCAAGATGGCGGGCGATGACAAGCACCTCTTCAAGCAGTTCTGCCAGGAGGGCCAGCCGCATGTGCTCGAGGCCCTGTCCCCGCCCCAGACCACGGGGATCAGCCCCAGCAGGTGAGCGCTGGGCCCCGCCGGCCTCCGCCCGCCCCCTCCTGCGCTGGCCCGGCGGGAGCAGGGCCCCGCCAGCGTTTCATTGGGAGCCGTGGGCGGGGGTGTCCCTGGCAGCATGGAGCTCTCTGATCGGAGGGCAGCCCTCCTGGGGGCTGCGGTGCCACGCGCTGGCCACTCCCGCCAGGGGCCGGCTTGGCTCGGCAAGGAGCACCGGGGCGCCTCGCGCGTTCCAGCCGAGCCCCATGGCTTCCGGTTGGCCTCGGCGGGCGCTCGTTGCAGCCGCTTCTTTGGAAGGACGGGGGATCAAGCCGTGTCTCTCGTTCCAGGCTCAGCAAGAGCCAGAGCGGCGACGAGGGGGGGCCGCTCAGTGACAAGTGCAGCCGCAAGACCCTGTTCTACCTGATCGCGACACTCAACGAGTCCTTCCGGCCGGACTACGACTTCAGTGCTGCCAAGAGCCACGAGTTCAGCCGGGAGCCAAGCCTCAACTGGGTGAGCCGCTCCCTGCGCTGCGGTTCGGGCGGGGGGGCCCGGGGGGCGGCGGCTGTGCCCCCTGCCCGACGCGTCGAGTGCCAGGGCGCCCCCAGGCCGCCGCCTCGCCACGGGCCTGCTGCGTCTCCCACCGCGTGGCCCAGTGTGGCCGCTGAGCAGCGCAACGGGCTGCCGAGGCTTTCCGGGAGCCGGCTCCAGAGCGGTGGGAGGAGAACGCGCCCCGTCCCTGCTTCCCGCTTGCCCCCACGTCAAGCAGGAATGTCACGCCAGCAAGACCTGCCCCAGGAGGCAGCACAGCTCTCCTGCTGGGAGAGAGCCCTTTGCCCGTCGGGGCGGGGAGCCCCTCTGGCACGGCCCTCTCCCCGTCCCGGCAGCCCGGCACCGGTGCGGCTGAAGGCCCCGCAAGAGACCTTCCTCCCAGCTGTGGCAAAGCCGTGCCCACATTGGGTGCCAGGGGGCAGAGGCCGAGCGCTGAACCGGTCCCTTTCCTGCTTGGAAGTCCACCGAGGCCCGCCTGCTGCACCCAGCGCTGCGGGACGACCCGGCCGAGCGGATCTGGGGGATGCCTCTTCCCCCCTCCCGAGCGAGCAAGGCCAGCCCGCCACGGGATGCAGTCCCCGCACGTGTGTCTGCAGGCCGCCAGGCCTGCCCCCGTTGCCCACCGAGCCTTGGTTAGGGTGCCAGGCCCAAGCGTGGGGGCAGCTTGGCTGTGCGGACCGCCAGAGCTCTGCGGCCTCCTTCAGGTGGTGAACGCCGTGAACTGCAGCCTCTTTTCCGCCGTGCGGGAGGATTTCAATGCACTGAAGCCGCAGCTCTGGGACGCCGTGGACCACGAGATCTGCCTCTCGGAGTGCGACATCTACAGGTGAGCCCGCCGGCGCCGAGGGCTCTGCCCGGCCCTGGGAGTCGCCCGGCCTCTGCGGCCGGCCGTGCCCATCGCTCCCCTCGTTGCTTTGCAGCTACAACCCGGACCTGGACTCGGACCCGTTCGGCGAGGAGGGCAGCCTGTGGTCCTTCAACTACTTCTTCTACAACAAGCGGCTGAAGCGCATGGTCTTCTTCACCTGCCGCTCCATCAGGTCAGGACGGGCGAGCCCCCCCCCCGCCCCAGGTGTGCGGCCCCCGTCCGCGGCTTTCAGCCCGATGGCCGGCAGCACGGCTGAGGTGCGCTTTCTCCCCCCAGCGGCTCCACGTATCCGCACCCCGAGGCTGCGAACGAGCTGAACATGGACCTGAGCGAGGACGACGTGGAGGAGACGGCCGGCACCTGCGACAAGGACGGGGGCAGCATCGAGGAGGACAGGTGAGGGAGCGCGCTGCTGCCCCTCTGCGCGAGCGCCCGGGAGTGCTGGGGGCTGCGGAGCCCTCGCCGTGCCCTGACGGCTGGGGGAGGGGCTCCGCTGGAGGTGGCGGGGGCTAGTCTGTGGGCCGGGCCCGCCTCTTCTGGCAGCTCCCGAGCCCCCGCCTCGCTCTTTTGCCCCGCAGGAGACAGGTGATCTGCATGTGACTGCGGCCGAGCTGCCCCGCACGCCCTCGCTGTGGTTGGCCCCGCCGGCGTTTCCCCGCCCCAGCCCACGCTGCGCCGCCGCCCCCGCCCCGCAGATGCTGCCCGAGGAGCCGGACGGATGGGGCGCCTGGCCCGACTTCGGGGCGCCGGACTCGGGTGCTGCAGCGCTGGACTTGTTGCTCTGCCCTTCCGAGGAGGGCTGGCCCGCCCCGAAGCACTTCTGCCCCACGCCGGGCCCCGGGGGCGGCGCCTGCCTGCAGCTGTGCCGCGCCCCCGCTCACGATGCTGGATCGGCCCCAGCCGGCGCGAACACGGGGATCGCCCCATTTCAAGGCACGGTGGGGCCGCTCTGCCGCCTCCCCACCTGGCGCTTTGGCCTGCTGCTTTTGGCGACTCTTCCTGCCCTCCCCGTGCTCACGGCCGGACAAACTGCTGGATGGACTCGGGGCCGGGAGAGCCGTGCCCGCGCGCCGGTGCTGCGTGGCCCCCGGGAGGCGGCCGTCTCCTCTCAGCCGCAGAAGATGCGAAGCGGACCGCCGGGTGCCGGACGCGGGCGCCAGGGCAGTGCCGCTGCTTCGCCTTCCTGAGGGCCCCTAGAGTTTTATTTTTGTATTCAGGCCCAACGGCCCAGCCTGCCGCCTGCTTCCCTGGACCACCGGCTGCTCAACAAAGCTTCCTTTGCAGCCCCCGACAGGAAGGCGCGTCCCTCCTTGGCGAAGCCCATGGCTGCTGTCTTCCTCTCAGGGGCGGGGGTCGTTGCTGACAGCGGGGGTCGCTCGAATGCCCCCCTTACCCGGCCCCTGCCTGGACTGCGCTGCTGCGGCGGAGCTGCCCTTCTCCCCCCTTCTCTTGCACTGACTTGATTCCCTCTGTGGGGAGGGGGGCTGTTCCCTCAGTGGGGGAGCAGAGCGGGGCGGAGGCGAGGGGGCGCCTGGGCGGGGCTACATGGGTGGCAGAGCCCCCCGGCAAGGTGGAAGCGCCTGCTGGCACCACCAGAGCGGCCCCCCGGCTTGGCAGCACTGCGGAAAGGCAGCTGCTCTGGGCAGGCGGTCTGGCGCCAGGCCGCTGCCGCGCGGAAGGGGGAGCTGCTGCCTGGGGGCTGCCTCCTGCCATCTTCGAGGGGTTCAGGAGGGCCCCCCACTCGGGGCACCACCTTCACTGCCGGCTGCAGGCCGAAGCACTCCCACCTCCCCTGCAGCTCACCTGCCCGGAAGCAGGAGGGGCCGCAGCCCCCTTTTGCCGGCCTCCCACTTGGGCCAGGCAGTGAGCAGTTTGGGGAGCGCCTCCCCCCCCCCCCGCTGCCCCGCTGGAGCGACCGGCTGTTTACTTCCTCCTCTGTTTAACTATGTTGCCTAGCAATTACTGGTGCGGCTATAAACTCGTTTCCTCTGTGACTGAGCGTGTCTTCGCTTTGCCTTGCCCGTCACTGCCCTCGAAGGGGGAGCGTTGGCAGCAGGAAGACCTGCGTGAAGGCTGGCAGGGGCTCGGCGCCTCGGCCCTTTAGCGGTGCGCTTGTGCCAGTCCGCTGGTCCGGGCCCTCAGGGCTGGGGGATGCGCGGCGCCCCTTGCCAGGACAAAGCCGGTCCCGGCAGCCAGCGAGCGGGCTGTGCGCAGCCCGGCATGGGCCCCAGCATCCAGCGGCAGCTCTCCCCGCCTCGCTCGAGGGCCACGGGCGGCCTGAGAAGCGGAGGAGAGGCTCCAGCAGGACGGAGGGGCAGAACGGGCAGAGGAGAGCGGAGCGCGGGATCCGGCGTGCTCCCCGGCTGGAGAGCCTCCACTGCGGGTGGCTGTGGCCACCGGGCCGAGGGAGCAGAGATGCCCCTGCCTTGCGCATCCCCCCACAGGCTCAATGCCGCACCCGCCGGCCACGCAGCCCACAAGTGTTTCGGGGGGGGGGCCTGGGGCAGCGGGGCCGTTGCAGGGCCCCTGGCGGCTCCCCCGGGCACACGCTCCCCTCACAGCCCACACCCTGCATGGGCTCCATCCTGTGCACGGCGGGCAGCTGGGGAGAGACAAGGCACCGCAAGTAGTAGGCCTGATGGAGCCAGAAAACCGGTGGCAAAATTGTAAAAGCCTTGCCCTGAGCTGCGCCCAAATTTATTTATATATTTATTATTTGCATTTATATACCACCCTAATAGCCCGGAGGGCTCTCTGGGTGGTTTACGAACATGAAAACCCACCAATCCTAAACAAATAAATAAATTGGCTATGTCACAACAGTATAAAATAGCCTAGTTAAAATGAATTAAATAAATATACCATTAAAATTAACTGTAGAATATTGGTTAAATATTCCGGAAAGTCTGGATGGGCATGGAAGCTGGAGCTGCTGGAGCGGCCCAGAGAAGAGGAGGCCGCCGGAGCTGCACGAGGTCCCGCCGCGGGGCGCCCCCCCC